GCAGGACAACCTTCAAAGTACGTACATCACGCGCGCCTAAGCTTTACCGCGATTTTCTAAGGATTAAAGACGTGTATGTATCAGCTGTGAATATTGTATCCTAAAAACCATATGGCTCCAGCCGTCTGATGCACTTGGGTTGTGGTCTCTTCCATTCCCCTTTGTTTGGGTCTGGCCATAAGGAAGCACTGTCCTGAAATGGCGGAGCATCGTCCTCATCGCTGGGAGCCTGGAAAAACCCCACGGGCCAAGTAGGCAAGTAGCACATTTCCTACACGACCGATACCACAAGCCGGTTTGCACTTCACTCACACTCTCCAGTCTAACCAGGAGATTAACCGTGTCATATCATCCTTCCATTCGCCCATCAGAGTATGTATGCGATCGGCTTGAGGGCATTGTTCCGGAGGATAAAAAGGGTCGACTCCAACAATCAATCCAGAAGCCCACATCTTCATGGCGACGCGGCATATTTCACGCGTGGTTTCCCGCACCGCCTGCAGGAGCAAATGTTCAGAGGGCATCAATGTCGTTCCATGAGCCACTATGGAGGCCGTGTGCGATGTAGCACATTCGCGAAAAACTGGCTCAGCCCAGTACTGTATCATCTCCAGGCGGTTGGCATATCGATCCACCACCACCACCACCACCACCACCATCACCACCCGCAAGACGGTCTTTCCAGTCAATCCCGCTGGTTGTCACGGGCGGTCGTACCAACGCTTGAGCTAGCCTGTCTTGGACACGTTCTATATCCCCTGATGATATTCCTCCCACTCGATGATCCCATCGTTCCAAACCTACACGGCGCGGCACCAAGGAGGGAATAAGAGCAGTGTCGTAGAAAGAGATTAGTCCAGAAAAATCCAGCACAATCCGGGATAATTTTCGCGCCATGAAGCAGAATGCATTACTTCATAAGCGTGATGCACGGATGTCCGAGAATAAACCAGACCCCACGCTACGAGATCTTGGGTGTCCATGGTGCCCTCCAGGAGTTTCGCAGCGCTGTTTCCGTCAAATAGAGTACTTTCATCGGCTGAGTAACTACAAGGTGAGATGCCATCACCCTGTTTCGATCGACCCACGGCAGAAAAGTATGGAATGGTCTGGCTCTACAGCCACCCAATCCAGAGACGTCGGTAAATGGGGACCGGTGATGGCTCCGTGGTAGAGGAGTGTGCCACTGTGCCTACGAGTCCCTGGGACTATTGTATGACCTGCAGGACGTCAATGATGAGTCGTGAGATCTGTGCAGTGTTCAGTATCTTCAGACATACCAATACGATCACACGTGTTAGCCCAGTGTTGAAGCAGGGAATTGACCGTTTCAAACACCAAATGTCCTGTCGCGTTCACCGCAGGCGCTTCATCAAGATCCCATTGTCCAAGATCATTTCGACCCCCCGGTTAAAGGATAAAGGTGGCAAGGAAAAGCCAGACGGTTGCGACTTTCCTCAGTGGCAGACAGCATTCCGGGGGCCAAGGACCTTTGTAAGCTTATGTTGTTATGACTAAAGTTATGGCTTGATTTCCATGATGATCGTGGGCCAGTGCCACTGAGAGGTTGATCAAGTTGTCTGCCGGATTGGAATCACTTTCTATGCTTATCCATACTAATCGGCGAAGTAGATAAGTGGAATAGCTGTTTCCGATGTTCATTTTTCAATAAATCAGGATTGTCTTGCAACCAACAATGACAGGAATGATGATGAAAAATGGACGTAATGACATTCATTTCCACCAACCCGCAGCTGAATCTCGCCGGCCTCTTAGTATGCTGCGGCCATGCGCTCACAACCGATGTCGAGTTTGACATCGTGCGTAGTCTCGATTCCAATGTTGTGATTGGGATGATCTAGATTGCTACTTGGCGCCAGGCGAACGTTTAGGCGCCTCGAGGTGACGCCGCAGCAATTCATTATCTCTACTGATCTTTTGCTGCTCCAGAAACTCCGTGTATACTTAGCGGCAAAGACAAACATATCGAGCCTGCCGATGGTGGTGATCTTCGTCCCTCGCTGGGGCAGTTTTATCGTCTCACAGACGAAGCTCTGGGGCAAAACGGGCAACCGTCATGATCTTGGCTGTCGATTTCAGAGTCCAATGGTCTTGTACGATCGTGCCCCTTTCCCTTCTGCCCCGCCTATTGAGTGTGCTAAATTATCGGCATGAACTGGATCAGACGCTAGGCTCGTGACCAGCCTGACGTATGCTACTACGGATACTCGAGTGGTGTACTAGCCAGGCTGGTCGATTTCGGAGTGGCGTGGCAGGGCGAAGCGAGGAGTTTGAAATGTAGCAGGTGCCGGTTGTGCCGGTATTACTCGATCGTATGTACATAGTACAACTATGCGCCTTCCGTCGTTCAGACTGTATAATATGTCAAGTTGTAACCCTTCTAACCATGGGTTCCCACGTCTCGCGCTGCTGCTGAAGATCAGAATTTTTGTCAAGCGGATTGGTGTTTTTATTTCCATTGATGAGGTCCATTTTATTTATCACAGCTGGAAACCCAAGGCACATCAGGAAAACGTAATTCATTACCATTAATACAGAGTGCTACAGAGCGCTCTGTAGCGGCTATGTACACAATTTGAACCCGCTGATGCAGGCGAGAAGCGCGCAGCATATGAACCTCGCGAAAGTACTGGTTTGCAACTCCCACTTGGTGATCCAGTTGCCCTCTTCTCGCAACTCTGCCACAGCCGATACTCCAGCGAATCGTTAAATCGCTGAATCTTTCGAAGGATTATAACAGATACCTTTATGCTGACCACCAATTGCCCCAATATCAGTCACGCCGCAGTAATTCCTTACTGGTCGACTCCATCAAAACCTCAATTTTTTTTGTATCTGTTCCGTTTCATCCACCTATGTCTATCTTCCGAAGTCTACATATTCACAGATCACAAACTCAGCACAGCGACTGTAGCAAGATACCTCAACACTCGTTTACCTGAGGCAGTTCGTTTTGTGTTCAAATTTCGGCACCTCCAGTCCAGCATGTCAACGGAACATAATGAAATGGTGTTCGACGAGTTCCGAAAGCCAGATGGCCTTGTTCAGGGTGTAGTGGCAACTTCGGGGCGCGTCAACTGTGACCGTTCATGGACGACATTCCATTCGGTTGATAGCTAACATGGCCCCTCACCTCTTTCCAGGGTATCAATGTCGCTGATATACGAAAGGTTCAGGCTGCATCATGGGTGGGTATAATGCATGAAATGGTATCATTTGATTGTCCTAGTTAACATTTAGTACTGCTGCTCAATGATGTTATGATCAGTACTGAGAGGCATACGATACTTTTGTAGGATGCGAATGAAGGAACTTCATTCGCATAGTACAAAGTATCGTATGGTCAACGCTGTCCAAACTACAATGACTACCCAAAGCGGCACGACCGGGCATCTGCCAAATTTCAAACTCCTCGCTTCGCCTGCCAAATCACTCCGAGTTCGACCAGTCTGACAGACTCTGACTACATCAAAAAATTCTCACCATCTCAAATTGACGCATAGTCAGACTGGTTACGAGTCTACCATCCGTCATCACATCTCGTTTTCGCAGTGCATCAAATGGAGAGCCGAGTGAGTGTGTCTAAGGTCAATTGGAAACGACAATGATGGAGAATTGCACTGTTAGACGCTGCGCCTTTGCCAGCGGGGTCTAATGTTCAAACTAGGTCGGGCACCAGTCTTTCCCAGGTATCCGTCTTCAATATGTATATATATTCTAGTCAAGCAATGTAAAATCCGAACGATTGACCCAGGGAAAGGTCAATGTTGAAGTATCCCGGACATCTTCAACTTCTCTGCATGCGAAGCAATGGCGGAATACAAGAACATGCAGCATCAGGGAATACGTCACGAACAGTGCCATAGTATCTCATTCATTTTCTCCTCCCGGTTATCATTGCCGATCTGTCCAATCACAAGAAACAGATCTCAAGCGATCCACGGAACTCTGATACGTCCACCGCTGTGTGATCCAAGAACGTGTTATTCAAGGGTCTTACTGTCAGCGAGAATGTCATATGAAGACAACAACCAAATATGCGTCACGAAAGAAGAACAAAAGCGACAGACGGTTTTGGGTAAGACGGGGTTTTTGGTGGTCATGATGCCCTAGAGACCGTCTCCTCGGCCTCTCCAGCCCATCTCCAGCAGTAAATTCTGGCACGCGTGACATTCACATAATATTACACAGTTTGTGCTTGGAGATCGCCCCAAACCTTTCCAGCAGTAGTAGGAAGAAGCCCGCACAACATTAAATTGCCTTCTGCACAGTGGCCGCGGAGCCTTCGAACTGACGTAGAAAATTGCGCAGTCTGCGCCAGAATATGAGTATAAATTCATCCCGAATGGCCAAATGCCGCTAACGCAACTTTACCCTCGGCTAGCCTGAGATCGTCTAATTACCCCTGATATTTACATCTCCTGGAGCGGTCAGCTATAGGTCAGTGTGGTGTTTTGACGACTATGGCTAGCTAATTGATGACGTGCAGAACCTCACAGCACAACAGGGTAGATGATATCCTCTTGTTGATTATGCACATTGCAAATGCCAGCGTCATGACTGAACCTTGGTTTATCTACTTGCTTGTATCCAGCTTTATCAAGGACTCGTCAATTCACTGATGTCGGGTAACAACTAGTGTTGTAGGAAGAACTCTGCCATTCTGCCACATGGCAGGGCAGAACTGGGCCACGCTGGCAGAACATGGTTCTGCCAAGCTGGTTAGGCTGCTGGCAGAACTACCTCAAAATAGCTCTGTCCACAACACTACCCAGATCCCCTCGCGCCAGCAAAACGTGTCGCCAAACCGGTGTCGGAAGTCAGGTCTTGTGAGTGGTCAGACTAGGGTTGACTTCAATCTTCTTCCGCAGATACCCATCACTTGAATGTCTTCACCATGTGAAAGCAGCTGGATGATGTATTTTGTCAAGGAATATAAAACTTGAACGACTCATGGGGAATCACGCACACTCCCAAAAATGACGGAGTTGAATGAAGTCAAGGTTGAAGCCCTCTTGGGCATCATCAACTCCTCCGCACGCGAAGCAATGGCGGAATACAAGAACACTGGTCATGGAGTCCTGGTGCTCGAGGGCGCATGCGACCAATTGAACACAATACTAGCTCCCTCTCAATACACGGTATTTAATGTAAGTGCTGATTATAGATGGCCATTATATGCCTTGTTGCTCATCTTCCTAGTTTGTTAATGATTACGATTGTGCGTGCACAGACGTCGCTGTGCAATCACGCATTGCGGACGTCTTGGACAAATACCCAGAAGGTCTTGGTGTGGATGCGTTGGCTGACGCAGTGAACCTCGATAAGATTAAGACCGCACGCATCTTGCGAGTTTTAGCCCTCAGGGGTTGCTTCAAAGAAGGTAATATGCATCATGCTGTCGGTTGATAATTCTCTCTGATGCCTTTGGTGTTACACAGTTAAGCGAGACGTATTCGCAAACACACGACTCTCCCTCATACTCAAGTCAACAAACAACGTTTGGTGTCATCTACAACATCACCAACAATTCCCCAAATACGCTGCGGTTCTCTATGAGACTATGATCGACCAAGAGTTTGCAAAATCGGACAAGGTTGAAAAAGCCCCTCGAGCATTTGCTCTCAGAAAGGAAGGAATAAACGACTTGAACGACTTCTGATCGGAATTGGATGTGAGTTTTAACCATCATACTGGCCTTTTATGCCTTACCATATTGTATAGGATGAGGCACGCGATGTGTGTGCAGATTCATCCGCTCATGACTGACTGACGGCTCACAGAATCTTGCGCACAAATATTTCAAAGAGGCATGATGGGCTATACTGAGATCCAGGGCTCGTCTGCGGCGCTGCATTGTGAGCAATCATCGTTTTTTTTTCAATCGTCAGCATGACTGAAGCGGGTCATAAGATTATCCTTGGGACAATGTATCCTCTGGTGGATGTTGGATCTGGAATCGGAGCAATGTCTATTCCTCTGGCGAAAATGTTCCCCCATCTCAGAATAACCAATCAGGATCTCCCAGAAACTATAGTGCAGTCAAGAAATTTAAGTCCAGACATCAGGTCCACACCCAACGGGCAAGTTATATTAATATTTGATCAGGCATGGGAGAAGAATGCTCCTGAGGCGCTGCTCGACGGGCGCGTAGAGTTCGTGCCAGTCAATTTCTTGGAAGAGTCACCCGTTGTTGGAAAGGATGTCTACTATGTAAGTGCCAAATTTGTTTACATTCAACATGGACAGCTCGATAATCTGATGTAGTTAAGGAACATTGTTCACGACTGGCCAGACGATGAGTCAAGGGTGATCCTCCATAATATTCGCAAAGTAATGGAACCAAACAGCCAAGTGCTAATTCGTGAGTCAGCTGTAGTTCAAAGTGGTGTTTGCTCCAGAATAACTGTCCTGTGATAGATGAATGCGTGCTCTTGCGCACATCCGAAGGGCCTGACGTAGGGGCTAACGGGTTTAGTAAGGTGAGTTTAGAATTTAGCTTGATGGTGTAATCATACATTCAGGATCACAAGGCGCCCGAACCTACATTGTTGAACTTCGGTAGTCACACATCATACCACCTTGACATGACCATGTGTTTTTGCCAATGGCAAGGAGCGAACCTTTAACGAATTCAAGATCTTAGGGCAAGTTCCTTCTATACCTGGATATGGATATGTTGACGATGTTTGATTTGTTATAATTCGCAGGGCCAGTGTTGGTCTAGTGCTCACCCAAATTTATGATCCTGTAGGGACGATGGTCTTGGAGTTCAGAATCGCTCAGGACTGAAGCCGAACACAATCTATGATCTTCAAGTTCTGTTGTTGTACTTTTACCTTCCCCAATTGATCATGCCATGATCTAACCATTGAAGACGACAATGACAAAGGAAACTTTGCTCTAATATATCGATCGCGATCGATCAAGACCAAGCCGGGCCTTACAGTTGATACTTGAAGCTTCCCTAGTGGTTCCATCAAAAGCTTCTGCCCCTGCTGAACAATACCCATGGTGCTTTTATCCTTAGAAATCGTCTGCAATATCGAAACTCACTGGTGCATTTTGGGCTGTGGTTGGGCCGTGGACGTCACAGCCCTTGCAGGTTCGAGACGTGTCATATATCCGAGTCCATGTATCACGCGTGGCAACCCTCACTGGTAGACCCATGCTCGGTGTCCAATGGCTGTGTGCACAACTAGTCCTGCTCCAACCAATGGATTGATACTAAGTTGATTCTGGCGAGGATGGGGATAAGCTTTTTTAGAGCACGAGCAAGGCCGGATGGCAGGAACAACCTGAAATTATCATGTCGAGTCAGACGCCATCAGACACTGTGGAAACACTAGAATCTGTACAAGGTACTGTCGTCCAGTATTTCCTCACAGCTAGGTAGTGCCGCTCCCGGATCGGCGGCCTCATCCCCCCCCCCCCCCCCGAATCTCATATTACACGCTGACCTGACAAGCAGTGACTCGTGAGTAACGTTTTGCAATCGTTTGTTTGTGTTGAAAACGGAAGGTTTGCCAAATAATCACAAATTACATACGGATTCATCACGATGGCAAGTAAGTAGTAAGTACATATAGGCCTAACGCCATCATCGACATCGCCTGACTATCAATTCAAACGGATCAAATTGTGTCCCCAAAGCTGTTTCATTTCTGTACATTAGGGGAGTTCACAGTTGCGTCGGAGAGGCGTTTTTCGCCGAATTTGTCGCTTTGTTGTTCACATATGTTGGAGACTACCTCGGTTCGAACCCGGACTTTTCCGAACCGGATTCATAACTCAGCAAGTCACTTGGAATCGAGCCATGAACAACTCTATCATGATTGAATACGAAGGCAGAAAGATGACTCACTCTCGCGACGTACCAACCCTTCGGAATTTTGCCACTCCTTAGGATAGCACATCCCGCCGCAATTCTATTACAAAGCGCAAAGGGTCGGTCACGAGGTTGGATCCTGCCATTGGATCCAAAGCAACTCACAAAATTATACCCGCACTTTCCAGAGAAACACTCGGAGTTTTCGCCGCAAGATTCACCATCGGCCATGACGAATGTCGGTGGAGCCCGCTGCTGCTGGACGGAGGATGGAGGCGAAAAGAAGGGCTAACCATAGTGTAGGGGCATATACATACTAGCAGACGACGCTGATATACCTTGAAGCGAGAGTGTCCTGGGCGTTCATCCCTACGCGGCAAGTAAGTGTGGGCCCAAGTTGAAGTTAAACAACACCAACATCACCGCGGCGGTCTGCTCGGACTACTGGCTGAAACGGACCAATAATGTGTCCCAAAAGCCATTTCCTTCCTGTACATTATGACACAACCGCGATGCCGCAGTGACATAGAACGGAATGGACTGACGAAGGCTGCCTGTAAATTTGGCGTATATCACGAGCCCTCTCACACCTCTAGAACCCAGTCATTGCGTTCACCGTGTATATGCCCTCGATGCGCATTCGCAGATACTCTGCGATACTGCATTCATATTCAATGTGCTTGTGGCTAGGGGAGAATCCAGTGCAAAATGGAACATTTTAATCCGTGGTGTATTCCAGATCGTCGATACATGCGCCATCATCTTTGTGTGCAGCCTTGCCCCGCCATCTAGTCACTTTCGTGCGCAGTAAGTGCTCGATGTCGTGAACCCCTTCACATGCAGATAGTGTTGTACGAAATTTATTATACCATGGCCGCCGAGAGCTGATGACAGCAGTAAGACATGCGATTCTGCGAAGATAGCTGCACGAGCGACATACCACTGAAATTCAATAAAATGTCTGACATGGGTCTCAATAGTCTTATGAGTCGCAATATCAGGGAGTTCTTTGCAGATTTCTAGGTATTCAAGAGATACTCGAACAGGGTCTGGGATGATATTTGCAAATATGCTGTTCATATATGATCAACGACGCGGTACCAGAAAATAGAAGACATTGGACAAACCAAGGATTGCCTAGCAAGGTTTCTCCCACCATAATGCCATCAGCTTGGGTCTCACCCCTGTTCCTCTGTACATCCTCCCATGTACGGACGTTGCCATTGCTCACGACTGGTACTCTGAGTGCCGTCTTCAGAGTGCGAACCACATTTAAATCTGCGGCGCCCTGACGCCGTCGTCTGGCGGATACGTGACGCGCATGAAGAGTTATCCAAGATGCACCTGCCTGTTCCAGAAGGGTGGCAAATTCAACTGTGGATGATGATGGAGGTGACGATGAAGGACAGAGACGTAGTTTTACGGAAGTCGGTGGCTGCAATAGGTGGGACATTGCAGAAACTAGGATCACATGCTCACCAATTGAAAGGGTATTCAATAAAGTTGAAACTGCTTGCCTATGGTCTGGACGAGTGGCCGATCCTTTTTGACTAGAAGATAGCTACCGTAATGGCTTTCACGAGCATGCTCTTGTGGGCATCCTAGGTTCAAATCTAAGAACTTTGCAGCTGATTCAGTCGCTAATACATTTCACTTAAGAAATTACACCCACCAATACCGCTGCACAAGCCCTGTATCTTCTTTCCAGCTTGAACAATGATCTCAGGGTCATTTCCACATAACTGTACCACCACCGGTCCGTCCGTCTCACTACAAGCATCGCGACCGAAGGTCAGATCACGCTGATGAAACTCGAGGTAATCTCGATCCTCAAGAAGCTTGTGAGGGTCAAGCATCTGCGTATACGCGAGAGTTACCCCATATCGCTGTGTCAACAGCCGGAAGGGAGCATCACTTTGCTTGACCATAGGAGCAGCGATGTAGGTGAGATCTGGAAGCGTCATTCGGGGCCAGTGAAGGTGTCACTCAGTCACTGATAGTACTGTCTCAGTGTCTGTCCGAGTCAAGCCTTGTTTAAGTTTGTGGCATCAATCTGTACACTTGCTGACTAACGTCGCACAGTCAACATGCCAACATCATGGCAGCATGATGACGGTCATCGACTGGATTCACTGTTAACGTTCAGCGCTCAGCACTGTTTACTGTGAGTACTTGACGCGTGATGTGAGATTGAGCTAAGCTTCACAGCGGCAAGCTATGCTCAATTGGTATGCGTGACGATCGTGGTTTGGTGATGCGACTGCGCAAACCCTGTGACTTGCCAGTGAATGTGAAAGGTGCTTGCCGGCCTCACTCAGGCTATGCAACTGGTGTGGTGCATAAATACAACGATAACCGGGTAAGTTCTTCACAAGCTTTCTAATTGCTCCCAGGAGGTGTTCGGTTCTGATCACGATGTCATTAGCTAGCAGATTAGTGGCTCTCGCACTTGTATTTCCCTTGGCAGTTGTGCGTGACCTGCCAGAGCATGCCATCTACATGGCATGTTAGTGGAACTTTATCTTTATCTTGTAACATATTGATATTCGCTAACTTCTGCTGTACACAGGATCATAGTACTTCCCTTTCTTTTCCAGACCGTGTCTCAATTGTCCAAAATTGCATTAACACCCTGACTGTTATTCTTAACATTGGGCCACTGGCACAATTGGTGCCAGTGCATTCAACCGCAACTCATAATACATTATCTTAAGAACTTGGAAATTGGCAAAATGCAAACGTGCTTTCCGTGACGGCTAATTTGGACTACTTCACGAAATCGACGCCAAATCAACGAGCGGTGACGGATAGCTTGGATGCTGCCTTTAGCTTGTATACTTATTACGATCAGTACGGGTGCGTGTATCCTTGAAGATCTGGAACTCCGTTTTACTCTGACGTATATCGCGAGGCAAGGTAAGTTTCGTTCTTGTGACATCTTGTGTGGTCATATGTGAGATAGTTCATCTCTCGCCAGTATGACGTACTATGCCTCTATATCTCGTGTGATTTCCTGCTGATTCCCCGTGGCAGGTGATGGGCTATGCCAGCTTATTAATAACTTGGCAACACATATCGAACCAGTGAGTTGCTGTGTATATCGGTGGTAACGCTGCTCGCATAACCAATCTGTAACATGAAGTGTTATCACTGGAGCTATGGAAAACAGCCCAACAAGGACTTACTCATTGAGAGATCTTGTGATGGTGGTGTGTTAATAAATTATCGATTTGCTGAGGTATTGCCTGACATAGAACTAGAAATTATGCTATGATAGGGGGTGTTTTTTGGGTCATTGAGAAATTCATGTTCACTTGAAGATAGCGAGGTTGAAATGTGCCCAGCGCCCCTCGAATGTCAACACTGGCGTTGACCTCTACTACTACTGGGTATGGTTTGATATTACTTCATCTTCAAATGAGCTCATCTGGTCCGAGAAAGCCTCTATATAGCGTATGCTTCTGTGCTTCACTAAAGTAAATGCAAATTACCACTGATCTCAGGCTATGTCTAGTCTCTCGGCCTACCTCGCGTCTACAACTGGACATAGCGCTTATACCGATGCTGCAATTCTCTGCTAACTTCATCAAGACCACTAACATGAATTCTGGGGATCTCGTCCTTGAAACTATCGATGCTCAGGACTGCACGCGTTCTTTGTCTAGCTGGCTACTTACAACACCGGCAAGTGTATCGAAGGTTCGAGCCTCTTTGCATCCGTCACTGGCGACACTAGCTGGACTTCACTGTGAGTTTTGCTCATCCTCTTCATCCTGTTGACGATACTATTGACTTTGTAGGTCGTTGCCGCATCGACAAAAGTACCTACATGGGAAAGTAGTGATGGTATCATCACCGAGACGCCTACGTCATAAACGACAACGACGGCGTCATCCACGGCTTAGCTGGAGCCCCAACCCTGATAACATTGCCTTCAAGGCTCTTATCTGGAGTATTACAGACGTTCAGGCACGCTTCGTCCTACCGTTTACGTTCATCTTTCCGATTGTCCAACGCGTTGCTTGACTTGGCGTCGGGTAGTAGTTCCAGCTCTACTTGGTACTTACCTGCCTCATGGGGACAGCTCGCGGCCGTAGATGTTCTAGTGTCCGCTGCGAGCGTCAATAACTGATAAGCTGGAATTATGGATCCCTTACCGAGTCTTGATATGCATGTCGCTAATAACTCGTCATTGTTGATCAAATGATCATGACCGCAACAGCGATGAAGGAGAAACGCAAAGCCTACGAGGAACAGATCATCTACCCTCTACCGAAACTTCTAGGCGCAGGGGTCCTGCGCTGCCATTTACCTCTCGGATTGAGTCTCAACTGTGTTTCATAATAATCACCGTTAGCTCGCCAAAAGCAGATAAAGTGGAAGTAGAACAGTGGTACTTATTCCGTAGTCAAGAATTCACTTAGACTCATCAGCGGAAATGGCCGTACAAGAGGACCAATTCATGTCACTTCGAGATAAACACATTGATTCATGTTTGCGGTCACAGCTGTATCTTGTTAGACTGAGCCCGTTTAGTATTTTGTTTCAGGTTTCGTATAAGGCTCGAGACGCGCGCGGTTCTCCGGTTCGCAGCTTCTGGCCATGATTTTTTCTCGGCTATAGTATATAGACCTTCGGTATATGTAACAGATAAGAGTGCATGCACATGTACCCCAAGGGTTCGACTAACCGGCCGATAACTCTATGTAATAATGTGAGATGCATGCATGTGAGCATCCAGCGGGTTAGATATAGCAATTTTACTCACATGTTTGATTCAGGTGCGAAGTCGGTGAAAAGTCATTGCAATCGCAAAGCCGAAATCATTGAACCGTTACATAAGTCCGACTTGAAGAAGGCTTCACAGTCCGGCTGACCAACCACCAACAAACATTGCTACTTCTTCCCTACTAATCTGATATTCCTTATTCTTTCATCTGACCCATTTCGCACACGCCGCGACAAGCTCGCGTCATCCGTCCGCTCCGCTGCTTCTCTCAGCGACTAATATAGCATCGAAAATACGTGGACAGTCCGTTCCATGCCATTGATGCATAACACATTGCTCAAACCTGTTCTCCCGGTGGCGCGTGTATGCAATGGACGTCAAATTTTCGCTGCAACAACGGAATCAAATCCGTAGAACGGAATAACAAATGTATAAAACGGATCATTCCTCACATATGAGGGTAATGGCTCTGCCAGCTGTAGTACATCACGAACCATATCGTTGGTTCAAGCGGCGCAACGTTGCTCGACCTTCTTTTTCCCATCGACCTCGGCCCCGGTTCTCCTGATGGCGCGTATGAGCTAAGGGAATTCGGCACCACCAAAACGATAACAGTTACTCAGGATGGAATTTATGCGCGCCTGAATTAGCACGAACAATTCTTGAAGATTCACCCCCGCGTCCCGACGTTCTCAGCCCATGGAACTTTCTCAAACTCAAAATTTGCCTCCGCTGCAGGCCCGCAAAAGATAATGGTACCAGACCTTCGGCTTCCTTTCCTTGTACATCTGCAGCGCCTTTCAATCATCGCGGGAGAAGAAGACATGCGCTTCTCATGAACCTGCGGCATGGAAGCTTTTCCGCGGTGTGTCCAGAGAGGTAAGCGCATTGCGTGAGGTTCTACACTTTTTGCTTTTGAGGGTCAAAATGTTCGGTCTAGTAGCATCGTCGGTGAAGGGACGTGACCTCCAGGTGGCTTCGCTTCGAATTTTGAGGCAGTTTGATCCACGTAGTTCGGTCAGTCATGTCTTGTTGAGGAAAGCAGCAAAAGCGCCTGATCTGCCAATAGTAGGTGATCATTGTGGTGATCAACTCTTGCGCTCAAAGTTCTCGAGTAGGACAGCTGGATATCCCAAGTTGCCACAGTGAGCGCTCAGCGTCCACAGTCAAGCTGTACCTCCCAGCCGACTAAATTCTTATGTGTATCCCTTCGTCACTATGGACTCACGCACGGCATAATAAACACTCATGAACTTATTCTTGTCGCACATCACATGCTGTCCCGTCGGTGTCGTGGCCCAAATGCAGAATCTTGTACAACCTCACCCGAGCTCTCATCATCTAGACCGTTGGAGGTAAGTCGGCTACCAGTGGTTCCAGGGAAAGTATCGCTGCCGTTGGGACAACTCAAACTATTGAAGTTTGCGGTGTTTGCCATACGCTGGCAACTCGGAACAATGATGGACGTCGCATGCTGTGGCACGCGCAAGTACGACGTAACACGTTAACTCCATGCCTGATGTATTACTACAGTCGCGGCTTCGGTCCGTCTCGCAAGCTAACACCAAATTCGGCGCGTCAGGATAACAAAATGAGCTTTTTTGCAGAAGATCCCGCGAGACAGAATCAGGAACGTGAACCAACTTCGTCGGATGCTGACGAATGCGCCACAATTTCGATTCTCGGAGGCATCCGTTTTACCCTCAGAATAGAGTCGAGAATTTTGTTTTAGCGCAATGGGAAAGTGTCCCCGGTATTTGTTATGGTTGCAATGGACTTGCTAGCTCAGCGCTCAGCCTTCTTCAGTGCCACGCTTTTATTCCAGCAAAGGGACGCACACATTTCATACTCGCGCACTACAAATACTGAAATTCTCTTACCGGTGAGACCGACCCGGTTTCAAGAACTTCGGAAGGAGACCAGATGTTGTTTTCTGGGCGTTAGATATTCAATGATGAGTCCTGCTCGGCCCGTATGGTTGGAGAAGGCGGGAAGAACAATAGTTAGGACTTAGACCAACCTTGATTTGCGAAATCACACTCCACGGACCGGCGGATACTCCTGACCGCACCATATTTCATTGACCTAGTAGGCTGCGCGATGTAGAAGCGAGTATAATATTATACAACTATGGAACCGAAAGCCGCCGAGGGGTCAAGCTTGATCTCAAACGCGCGGTCGGCGGCAAAAATTACTGAGCACACACTGAAGGACGCCGTGCCTTCCATGAATTTATGTTAACTGAATATCATACCCTGCAGGTTACCTTCGTCTTACTTTCCCTGGCTCGTTTCACTTTGAAATTCGAAGTCGAAACGAGGTTGCACCTCGTTTCCATTCACTTCATCCCGCGGTCACGGTAACACTGTGATTGAATATGTCTAGGTATATACACGACGATATTGCGAAGAAAATATGACTGCGAATATTTATTTATTGCAAAGGTGCGCGTAAATAACATACAAATGCCCCGTAGGATTATCCGAGATGCCTGTGCTGAAATATGAAAAGTTACACTACAACGCTTGCAGCTTTTTAGTCCGTCCTCTAGATATAAAGATGAAAGATAATAGACCAGAACTATGATGAAGGCCCAATTACAATCTTGATAACCATGTTGCCATCCTCGTCTTTGCCTTGAGCCAATAATTCAAAAGCTCGAGCGGTATCTTCCAGGGGAATGCGGTGTGTAATAAGTTTTTCGACGTTGCGGAGTTTCCCCGATCCGAGCAGCTTGAGAGCTTCAGGATACGTGTTGGCATAACGGAAGGAGCCTTGAATGTCTACTTCACGCAGGGCTGCTGCGGAGAGCGGAAGCATGACATTTCGTGACCCCATTCCAACCAGCATGACTTTGCCACCCGTGACAGCAGCCTAAAAGTTGCAGGTCAGCGATGATCAAAGCTTTGCACAGACTATTAACTTACGTGAATCGACATCTGAATACAGGGCTCAGCGCCCGTACATTCGAAGACTAGGTCAAAGCCTTCTGGCTCGTTGAATTTAGACAAGGCAGTCGAGACATTGTCTTTTGCACATCGAAGCTGCTCATCGGTCGTTTTAGCCTTATCGACCATGGGCAAGCAGTACGTTTGTGAAGCGAAACCGTGCGACTTCGCAAAGTTCAGTCGCGCCTTGTTAATGTCAATGGCAACGACCCGAGAGGCACCATATGCATTGGCTAGTGCACAAGCGAGGATACCAATGGTACCCACACCGAACACGAGAACACGCTGACCTGAAGCAAGATTGGCTCGTCTAGCAGCGTGTATCAAAACTGACAACGGCTCAGCCAAGGCGGCTTGTTCGAAGCTGCAGTTATCAGGCAGTCTGAAGAGGAGTTAGAGTGTACGGAGGGACAATTAGATTGAGTTCTCACGGATGAATAACGTGTGCTGGATGGTTCATTCGGTCTTGTAGGGTCCCGTCAAGATGAGGGAAGGTTTTTGCGCTGCTGGCGAAGCGCATACCCTTACACAGATTGTAACGGCCAGCCTGGCAATAATTGCACACTTTGCACATGATGCCGGCCTCTATTGCAACGCGTTGACCAACAGCTAGATTTTTCACACCCGGACCGACAGCAGTAACCACACCTGCTGATTCATGGCCGAGGACGAGAGGTGCTTGGAGTGCAAAATCGCCATTGCGACCTTCTAGATAATAGTGCACTAGGAAATTTGCTCGAAGCTCAAACTTTTAGGACGCAGAAATGACTTACAGTCACTTCCACACAGACCGGTTGATTGTACTGCTACTTGTGCATGGTTGTACTGTGGAGGCCAGGATGGGCGTTCTTCGAGACGAAGGTCCTTAGGACCGTGAAGGACGACTGCACGCTGCAATTGAACCGTAACGGGAGACATATTTGTGATGGGTGGAGGGAAAGTGTTAAGGGACGTACATCCTAGTATCAACCGGTGCCCTTATATATACAATATAAAGTTGCAAGAAGGAGCAGTCTCGTGAGGAGAACTTCATCTTGAACTTATCATTCAACCAGATTAGGAAAGATTCGTTCGGTCCGGTTGACCGTAAACGTATTTGCAAAATGCGAATCAATAACACAATGTCACATGTGACACCTGCTTTTTCGGACTGTATATGGCCAAATCGGGGATCTACGTGACAAATATATTATAATCTCCATTTTTACAAAAAAAAAATCATTTATCGAAATCTCGCTGCCAGTTACTCGGGTCGTGAGCCGATGCGGGGTAAAATCAAATCTTGGCCAACAAAATGTTACTGCCCGCGACAATATAAAGATCCAGGTGAGTCTTCAATCTATGTGAATCTTTCTGAAAATGGATCCAACCCCCTCTGTGCTATCTCCACAACTCTTTTCTCTGGCAGGCCAGAATGCCCTCATTACCGGAGCTACTAGAGGTGACGTATTCGTTCCTCGCCCGGAACTTCGCTTCAACTGATCAAGGCAAATTCGATTTGTTAACTTGGTTCTTACCGTCGCGGTTGACAGGCATCGGTGCTGCATGTGCTTTGGCTTTAGCTCAAGCGGGTGCCTCGATATGTGTTGTCCAGCGCCATCCTTCTCCGGATGCGGAACCGAATATGGACACGGTGAATGCCATTCGTGCGCTAGGCGCGAACGCGGAAGTTGTTTATTGCGACTTGGGCAACTTGGATTCTGTCAGGGAGCTTTTCCCCAAGGCACTGGAGCTCATGGGCGGTAATATTCATATCCTGGTCAACTGTGCTGGAATTCAGCGGAGATCGCCGAGTGTCGATTTCCCGGAGAAGGATTGGGATGATGTAGGTTATCCACTCAAGTTCTGTTTAACCTCCCTGGCATCGGATTCTCAAGCTGTACATGTTTCTCTCCATTCATTTTTAGGTTCTCGACGTGAATCTCAAATCTGTGTGGCTTATATCACAAGCGGCGGGCCAGCACATGGTTCCGCTTAGGAGGGGGAAAATCATTAATTTCTGTTCCCTGTTGACATTCCAAGGCGGTCTCACCGTCCCGGCTTATGCCGCCGCTAAGGGTGCACTCGGCCAACTCACGAAGGCTCTCAGTAACGAATGGAGCCAGCATAACGTCCAAGTGAACGGCATCTGTCCGGGGTATATCGCTACAGACATGTACGTGTATTTTTTATTGTTATCGCCTGGGCATCTTGTGAGATTACCCCCTGTTATGTGAACCCGTGACGTTAGTGATGGTTTGGCAACACCGACATCTTCCCGCCGGCTGAGCCTTCATTTCGCACTTGTTCCTCTCTTTACAAACCTTTATTATCCGGCTCTTAGGATTGGCGTCTACTTTGGTTCTCCAATCTGACTGCCTTCTGATATACCTTTAGGAACGAAAGGCTGCTAGCGGACCCCACACGCTTCAGACAGATATCGGAGCGGATACCCGCAGGGAGGTGGGGTAGCCCCGGAGACTTTGCTGGCCCGGTGGTATTCCTTGCCAGCAGCGCAAGTCAATACGTCTGTGGCGAACTCTTGGTTGTTGATGGTGTATGTATATTTCGCAGCTTGGTATCATAACCCTACTCATGCGTCGTTATCAGGGGTGGATGGGTCGTTAGAACAGAGGCTGCTACTGTTCCCACGACAATGCGGAGAAGTCAAGAGGTTGTAAAATTCATGTACATAACTGGGAAGCACTTGCAAATGTGAAGTCGATCTGGCAGTTTGCGACAAGGTGTCTCACGTGAGGAAAAACACTATGTCACTCCACCTTGGGATAATATGTTCCATAGTAGATACTTATCATAGGGTTTATACCATTTTCCAATACTTTGGCTGGGTCAGTACGGTGAACGATGACGAGCCCCAAAGATAGCCTATCTTGCCTCAGGTCCGACTGCCGATCATATTTTACTCGGTGACGGGTGACCCATCAAGGACTAGCCAGACAAGAATAGGCAAGCGTGATACGAAGGACATGATTTTTAAACTTAATGTGCATAGGTCTTGGCAATCATTTCTCCACCAATTTCATTGATTCAAATTTCATAGCTATGGTATAAGTAGTTTAAGCGCAACAAAATATGTTGAGGCAAAATTGAGTGGGTTCTCAGATTATCAAGTGCCCGACTGGATGTCATCGGTAATACCCGATACAGGGGCGACCTTCCAATTTGCGGCTCGCATCAAGCTCTTGCCGACGCCGGGCCGTGTATTCCGGATAAAACTGGTTATCGGGATGCTGCCCATTGGACGCCCATATGTCGTTGTTCGTGACAGGAGACCATCATCACCACTACCTGGGATTATATTGGCACGTGTTCATTAATATTGTTCCCATTCGAAATGCCGAGTATCACAAGCTGATACCAAAGGCCTGGGGTAGCCAGGCGGCTACTACAGCGACTGGGCTAGCAGCCCTCGGCGGTAGTTCCAAACCATGTATGCCATGTGCTCCGAAATTTACTGAAATCATTCTGGTACGTTTTTAATATCCACTGCAATAGGAAAACTCGACCGACATGGTAAAGGCAAGGTAACAAGGCTCATGGTTTAACTTAAACTCAACCAAGGTTCACCATGACGTTGATCAAGTCATGTGTTACGATGCACTAACCGCATCGTTCCATTCAGAATGGGTGGGTCTCCGTTAGGATGGTGGTAGATCTAGGGCTTGCTATTCGGCTGCGGACCTAGTTCAATCACGAGTACGTGGCACTTCTGGCAAAAGCAAATGAGGGAACGAACCTCGGTGAACGAATTCCCTTCGGTGTTTATGAGGAAACGAAGAGGGGCGAGCATTGGTACCGGATCCTACTAACCAACACAGATATCGCCAGCATTATCACCCGACTCGGGAATTGCACGTGTAGGCTACAAGACCACCTGTGGAGCTAGATGGATCATGGATGGCTTCTGAGTCAATACAGGATGCCACCCTGTGATCTGCGGCCCCATCGGTGAGGGAAAGCGGTTGACGCAAGACAGCAACTCAATCTATTTTTTCATGCATGATCGGGATAAGGAAGACGAAGCAGACAAGAAATGACAAACAGATGCGTGCTTGCAGCGGGATTTCCCCGCAAATCTTGCGTCAAACTAGCTCCAACTTGCGAAAAACCCGGTCACATCGTGAAGTTAGTCATATATTTGTGTTCGCTCAACTATATAGTAAATGGGCTTCGAATTCGTATGCGTATTAGAAGCTCTTCTAGTTAAATATTTTCAAGCCAACCCGCCGAGAGTCGTGCAAGCGTAGAACTATTAGATAAATTCTGTATGGGCGAAGAACTGATCATTAATATCTCAGAAGGGCCTTCTGATAGCAACCCCAGTCTCGAGTGCATATTCACGCGGACCGGTATTCCTGGGGCCGAATCATTCGTATACACATGAAAGGCTGGTCCAAGGGCTTCCAAGGGTCGTTGTTCGACGCTGTTAGCTGTGCCTTGTGATGTCACAACTGGCAATAACGTAGTTTATTCCGGACGTTCGGTACGATTCAATCCGCTTCAGGTGTACATGGTGCATCCTACGCAACTACCATATCGTGAAACGTTTGCTGTGCCTATAGATTATTTCTGATAAGAATATATTGACTACGATGAGATGGAGCCAAGTGGTGCAAACCGTGTGGTTGGCCAATATTGTGTGGCGGTCGAGGCTCACATGAACGGCTAATGGTTCATAAAATGTCGTTCGCAGGCGATCTTCAGCCGGGCAAAAGTAGTTTTCCCTAGACGGACCATACGAAGATAGGGTAAAGGTTTAACGTAATTAAACCACCCACCCCTCGATTCTCGCCTTGAAGTTGCGACATCAACAAGCGCTCCAGTCCCAGTCTATAAACTTCGACATGTCGATTTGTTTGCGGGCTGCCGGGCTGATTGAACAGGGCACGAACAGACGTCGATGTCATATGTATATTAGCAGATGTTGCTACGTTGTGATTGGATCCAAGTCGGATGACATATATTCCATTGTCATGACTGGAGAGGGACTACCTAACAAATATTTTCGGTGATGGCGAAAACCCACAGTGAAGCAGTCGCATATGCAAAGAAACTACAATGGGTAAGTCCAGGAGAACACGAGACGACTAATACGTACAATTCCATGCGAGATCGAGCGCTGGACCAATTAACTGGGCATTATTCAGTCGAGATATGTATCTGGCCACATCATCGGGCCACAAAGGCCTTCCCCCAGCCGCGGCGACCTCGCTAGTGCCCGGACCGAGCTAATGTTCAGACCTCGCCCAATCACAGGTTAGCCCCAGAGAAGTCAACGGAGATGAAAGCTGGAAGTCGTATTTGAGTCGCTTCATGCAAGGATTTCCAGGACGAAGGATAGAATCTTCACCTTTGTATTCTCAGTACTTCTCAGGTAGACCGAGTAGAGGGAAGATGATCATGATTGTTCCTTCTTGTGGTGCGATGGCGCGCGACCCGTCTAGCGACCTCGGAACAGCTTTGAAGTTTACTAGAATGATCTATCTAGATTCTAGAACGTTCCAACTTCCAGAACATCCTGAGCTGCTGTGGGTAGAGAAACGGGTTATGCTCGACGGTCACTTTAAGGGAAATCACGAACATTGGTCCTGAGTGAGCCTTGGTCGACGCCGACCGTGTGGCGGCATTCGAAGATCAGCAGACTGCCTCGTGTAACTCGTTATGACAACTCTGGTTACTTCCCTGGCAACCCCACGAGTCAGTTGCTTCATCTCCGTTTATCCTTCAAAAAGTGTGAACGGTGCTGCGATGACCCGAAAAGCTGACACAAGCGCGATGAGGAGCTCCATTGTCTGCATTCATAGTTCAAATACAGCCCAATCGTGGCATAGGAGTTGATGTCGTAGAACTTCGAGCATGCCGTAGTCATTGACCGATCGCAATCATCATACAGCCATTCAGTCAGGTAGTATCTCCAGACATGATAGCCTAGTGCTCGCCGGGTTCATCCGATTTGTCAATGGTACTACTGTGATTTCATTAATTAGGTACTGAACTGCTCGAGATTGATATGCGCCGCAACGGTGATTGGATTGTGAAATTCATGTGAATTGAAAGAGTTGTGGCGCGTCAAGTGTAAGTTCAGCCACAAAGTTTGAGCGACTGATATCACGATGGCATTGTTTACCAAATTTCAGGTCCTTAGGCTCCTGAGAGGGGAAATCATGATGGGTTCTTCTGGGAATAAGAATAGTGTCCGATAGCCTGCCTCGATTAGATTACCTATCTATCTGCGACAACCATCGCCCTGATCTTTGGCCAGCCACGCATTCCTACTATGAGTACAACCCGAATCGATGCCCCAAGTGCAGCCGCCCTTAACATGTCTGAGTCGCACTTTCGACCTCGGGATGTCAAAGATATTCAAAGAGAAGAAGGGTATAGAACACCCTTCTTCTCTTTGAATATCTTTTAGCACTCCATAGATGTGTTTGCAATGTAAGCCCTCAAAGCATTAGAAATAAAGAGGAAATTTAGGTCTGGAGTCCACAGGTAAGTTCCTTCGAGCGATTACCTCTTGCAAGAGGGTTGACAAATTATCAGATGGATAGAAAAACGACATCGTAAGTTAGTAACCCTTACTTGGGCGCTTTAGGAAACTGGGATTCTGGACGATATTTGATTTGCATGTGGTGCCCGAGAGACAAGCGGAATGTACTTTTAGATCATCCAAGATGTACCAAGACGTAAGATGGCCTAGACAGTCGTGCTTTAATGCAGAGGTCTGAAATTAGAGGACGAGGGCCGGTGGTACCTGGATGACAAGTACGCAAGGCGTCAATGTCCAGGAGACAAGTCGATTGTCCTCACTTTCTGACTTGAAGTTACTGCCAATTTCACGGCCGTCTGAAGCAGCCATCGCTCAAACAGAGAACGACAAGAGCACTAGATCCCAATAAGATAATTATAAAGATAATACAATGCCTAACGATACAGCTGATAACATAGGGTTCTTCACTTGCCGCCGGAGCTCGAGAACTGTCTCAACTGTTAGGGACGGCTTGTGAACATGACTGACGTAAATCTCACCTTCGTCACGGATTTCGTGCCCTCAGAGATAGCATGCTTAGCAAGCTCTCCGGGAAGTATGAGACGGACTGCCGTCTGTATTTCACGGGATGAAATTGTCGATTTCTTGGAATATGAAGCGAGCTCTGGAATTAATGGTTAGATGAGATCAAGACAAGGTGCATGACACATACTCGAAGCTTCCGTAGCAATGCGCTCGAAAATGTCGTTAACAAACGAGTTCAAGATGGCCATAGCTTTATTGGATATGCCAGTGTCTGCGTGTACCTGCTTGAGGACTTTGAAAACACGTCAGACCGAAAACTTTCTGATTAAACATGACGCGTTACCCTTGTAAATGTAAGAAGAGTAACTCTCCTTGCGGGCTTTCTTCCGCTTCTTCTTTTCCTCTCCAGTAGCTGGGGCTGTAGCAGTCTTAGAAGTCTTCTTCGCAGCTTTAGTACCCTCAGTGGTTTTGACAGGGGCCTTGGTGGCAGCTGGGGCCTTACCACCAATTGACGTGGGTTTAGGTGCCATAGCGGTTGAAATTGCAAGATATAGTGACCCTTAAGTCAATGGTGCGAGAGGGATGTCGATAATGGCGGTTGCAACGGTAAAGAAGCGCGAAATAAATCCACAACATCTCCTATATATACCCTCACGTGACTTTACATTTATTTGGCCACGACGCGTCTTTGTTGATTGTGGCGCGCGTCCAGACTCTGGACTACTATAAATACAGCGTTCATCAGGTAATCATGTAACCACCTTCCAACTCATCTCAACTTTGCCTGCTCTACCCTTTTTTCAACCACTACACATTCTTCATTATGCCTTCTGCAAAGTCAAGCGGCAAGGGTAAGGTCGGCGGCAAGGTCAAGAGCGAGGACACCAAGTCCACGTCCCGCTCTACTAGAGCTGGTCTCCAGTTCCCAGTCAGCCGTATCCATCGTATGTTGAGGAGATCCAATGTCAGCAAGCGCATTGGGTCTGGTGCACCCGGTAGGTTGCCAAGTTTCCTACTCTCACATGAAACTAACTCGTTTTGTAGTATACCTTGCTGCCGTACTAGAGTACTTGTCCGCTGAAATCTTGGAGTTGGCTGGAAATGCAGCTCGTGACAACAAGAAACGTCGTATCAATCCTCGTCACCTTCAACTAGCTATCCGTAACGATGAAGAGTGCGCCCGTATATTAACTCATTTGTCGCAGTCTTGGCTTACTTCGTCCTCAGGTTGAGTAAACTGCTCGGAGATGTAATCATCTCTGAGGGTGGTGTCGTACCTTACATCAACCCTGCAGTACGTTTTTTTCCTCTACCAGCTGCTCAATCATTCTAAATGGCCTCGTATAGCTCCTTCCTGCAAAGAGCAAGAAACAAAGTCTTGACAGCCAAGAAGTGTAATTCACCCCGTGTATCTCAGTTTCGCATGCTTCCTTGTGTACCACCATTGTGCATATTTACTTAGTATACTTAATCTGTAGGACGTTCTCAACGTCCTTTTCCGCACCGTACGCAGAGAATCCAAAACAATACTTGGCGCACGACCTTGTCTGTATTGCTGCAACGAATCTTGACTGTAACCTGAGTACAAGAAAGATTCAAATATTCTAGACAGAACTCGAAAGTGTGTTGGCGAAGTGGAAACCCCTTCCAACTTTGATGGATACTGTGTCCGTAGTATGGTAGCATTGTATGGTGCTATGTACGATGTAGATGTCTGTATAGGTTGTCAATTATGGTATCGTATGACTGTTGTTTCGATGGAAGTTGAGTGCTCGAGCGTCCAATAAACACCACTCGATTTGGTGCAAAAACAGTAAGACGCGGCACCCACTTATCAGGATCCACGATTTAACCAGCCAACATGCAAGCCCGTCATTGTCTTTATGTTCTCTGGATACGAATGCGTGCTCTCCGTCAAGAGCCCTGCAAGCTTGCGACAAACACTGATTGGATAGAAGAGGTGCTCCGCTTGAGGGAACCCAGGGTATCGAGCCAGTAGGCTATGTACAGGAGGTCAGAGGGACGAATTAATGTTCATCGAAGATCACGTACTCTTCCAAAGCCATCGTTGACGACGACGGCCCCAAAATTTTGTACAATACTTTTGACGCGTCGATGGAGCCCTGTTTCGGAAGAAGGTATGGCGTGGGCAGCATATACGAGACACGAATCTTCGGCTTGAACAGCCATACCTTACACGGAGTGTAAGAAACTTAAACAATATTGATTAAAAATCACAACATACCAAAATTCGCGGCCGCTCCTCTTCTTCATCAGAGATAACAAAGCGGTACGTTGCATGAGCAGACACATGCTCGAGCATGTCTTGCATGATGAATGCAGACATTGGGAATCGGGGAAGTCTGTAAAGCCATCAGCAAACTAGTGTAGGTATACTGTGCGACTACGAACTCCGCTATTTGACTGACTGGCCGCACCGCATACTTGAACAAACGGTACATCGCTGAAGCTGTGCCATCTGAACTATGTCGTTCATGCCGCCGACCAATTACTGCACCGCATATACATCGTGCCAGCCACGACTCTCCATCTCGCTGAAGATAAGAAATCAGTTTACCATCAAAATCGACAAAGGAAACAAAAAATTAAAAAGTCATAAAGTTGTACACTCGAGCGTAGCTCCCATCACATGATCCTCAGTGAAGAGAGTTGTTTGAAAGAGTGACTCGCGAGTTGCCCCGCGTTCAATTTTGGACGCTTTGTATCAACCGAAAGTGAAACTTGCTGCAGCCTCACGACGCATGCCCCACTACTTGATGGTACGAAGAAACCTGCTGGGGCTTCCAAGGCATCAAAGCAGAGCACCGACGATCGACTGGCAGCCGCTGGTGGAAGCCCAACGTCGGCCTTCTTGATCGCCCTACAATAACACGAGTTCAATAGAAAATGTGTATTTACCAGGGGCTGTTCGGTGCAGGAGACATTATTGGATACTATTGCCGATTGCTGGAAGAGAATGTAGCCACACCCAACCAGAGCCTCGCTGTCTTCTGGCCAGAACCCGCGGCCATGCTTCGCAACGTGATTGTGTAGTGTTTGGTCTGTATGGCACATCCAGGCATCGACAAGTTCTTCCCAATGTTCTGATGGGAGGTCACGGTATTTGAGCAACTTCGGGCTGTGGACGAGGGGAAGCGAGCAGGATATGCAGGACCAGGATGTCGGCTTCGATGATAGGAGTTGCTCAGCAGACATCAACGAGGTAGGTTCATCGGGCGAAGAGGACCTCGCAGCCTGTGGATTCGCAATCCCAAGTTTGAGCTCGTAGTGTCCTTGGCAAATTTGAACAGCTTTCTTCCCAACAGGGACTCGGACAGGCAGGCCTAGTGGAGGCGAAGAGGCCCAAGAACTCCTAATCACCAGGCAGTCACCTTCTGTCCCACTAGATGAAGTTGGCAACACTTCAGCCTGTAGTTCTGTGTCAACGGGAATGCCCGATACTGTTACGAAGACCAGGACATGTCTCAAGGTCTCGTGATATTCGGCGACATAGGAAATATCGAGTGCAAGGTCCCCTGCGGAGCTTTGGTTAGTTTTGCCGACATTAATCTCCGAGTGCTCACCTTGCTGCTGCGACTGTTCTGTTCCAGATTGGACCTGCCCGTGGGACGAGCCCGGTCTGCTGGAACCCTTAGATAGCCGTCGGCTAAGTTCCGCTGCAGGGCGCAACCACTGTGGGGCAGATATACTTCGAGTGCGTGACTTCTTGAGGCTCATTGCGGAAACGTCAGGAACCGGCTCCTCGAGTGCATCTCCAGAAGAGGACGTATGTTGGCATGACTCAGGTGGGATACTGGACATCGATTCGCGAATGAACTCAGGGAGCGTGACGAGCTCATCCAGTGATCTGACTTTGGGTTGCAGGATGGCATCTTGGTCATGCAATCTCCCAACTCCCGAACGCTTGATAAGATGATCGACGAATGCACCTCGCTGAAACGATTACTTTGATAAGCAACAATCACTGGTCAAAGTAGGCTGGAACTACCTGATCTTCGTACTCCTGCTTTGTTTGCCTGAGCCTGACCATCCGTCTGCTATCCATGACAACTGACTGATCAGTCAACTTGCGGTCTGACGCTTTCCCGAGGAGCTCAAGCATGTGGTCAAGGTCGCGCATATCCCGATCATGAGCTTTCTGCTTCCCCTTAGATAAGGAAGGCTGGACTTTAGGACCTTCAAGCCGTGCACGCTCCATTTGTGCGAGCTTGGAGCTTTTCAATTCCACTCGTTGATTGTGTAGCTGAGGTGCAACGATGTACAGACGCTCGATTGCCAGCGTCACGGCATCAAAATCCATGCGCAGTTTCTCGTTGGAAATGCTGGGAGACGGTATCGACCTTGGTGGCTGAATGCCAGCCTTTTCGGAAGATGATTGATATTCAGCATCATATTCTGGGGGTGTCTCGAAGTCGTGGCCTACATGGTCATATTGAGGGGGGAGATGATCTAGGGAGGGGGAACGATGGGAATCAGCGCGATCTTTACAAAGTGCTGTTACAGTTTCTAATTTTCGGTCAATCTTGGACCAAAGGAGCGCGGTTTTTACAGTTTGTACTGGGGATTGCGGGGAGAGAATGCTTGCCCCTGCCTGCCGCTCCAATTGTAGATCACCAAGCTGCTTTTTCAGGGTACTTAATAGATCAGCGGGATGTCGAGCGGCAAGGCTAGGATAAGTGGATGAAGATGCCTGAGGAGGAGAATCCCAAGAGGGAGAAACTGCAGGCAACTGATCCAAGTCCAAAAGGAGGGACACTATGACTTGTGCAAAGTGTGCATCCTGTCGGTTCATGGAAGGCGCTAGGGCATCGACTCGATCCCTAAGTTCTTCTAGGAGAGCTGTGTGATCATCCAGGACTTTGCGAGGTATCTCCCCACCGTCATGATTTCTGAGATTTAACACAAGCGTCTCAAGTGCGGAGTATGATTGCGGCGCCTGCTCGCAGTGCATAGAGGCTGGCATCGAATGGCGCCTGTCTGGGACAATTGGCTGCCATCTTGTAGGGACGGATAACAAATTGTTGAGTGTCATGAGACACGAATTCTGCACGGCAGTGATTGATGGTATGATGGTTGTCTGCAAAATTAGGCTAAGCGTTATTTACAGACAGGTTACTGAGGCATCCATCACTCACGAGCAGTCTTTCTGGTGCAATATGGTTTACATTATGTAGCGCTGGCACCGATCGCGGGTTGCTTTGCGATATGCTCCCGTTGGCACGAGCCTCATACTCTACTTGCTCCTCGGCAAGTTCTTCCAGAAGTGCTTCCTGAAGTAGTTGCTCTCTTTCTTCTGCGCTCGGAAATGGTTTCGGAACTGAAGTTCGAAGAATTTCGTCCTGCTCAGCGAGCTGTACGACTTGGGTGCGAACGAGAGTCGCCATGAACAGCGTTCACGATTTCTGGAGTTTGGGCTAAAATAGTTGGTGGAAGCAATTGACAGCACGTGGTTTAAGGTGCCACGGTTCGACCGGCAGCAGACCACGTTTTGCTGATAGCTCATGAGCTCGCCGTTGGCGATAGCGGGCAAGTAATGAAAGGTGAACTGCTGTTGGGAATCTACTGGGGAGGTTAGTAATGTTGTATCTGGAGCATTATAAGTTATTAATTAAGTAGGTCGCAGTGTATTGGCGATACTATCTTAGCTCTTACGGCAGTGTAACGTTGGCAGTGTCTTACAGAACTTTTTCAAATGATGCGGCGAGATTTGAGTAATTCGGGACGCAGGGAAGCGAAGTCCCAACTCCTTTCGTGATGGCAGCCGAGTCTTTCAGAGTCTATGCCCTTCTCCACTTAGCACCACCAGAACTCCCATAAGAACTTCAACCACATCCTAGTACGATAGCGAAAGCGTTATAACTGGAACTATCTTTAACGGCTACTTGCACAGCTCCCACAGCCGCATATCATTCCGTTCAACAATATGTATCACGGTATGATGGAATGTTTCTATTTTTCAAACCAAACGTGGCTGAACCTGTGTGTCATTTCTCAGTTACAGGTTCCGCACCTACTACGGCTGGCCCTTTCAAAGACCACACAGGTGGTCCCCTCGGAGAGACCGTTGATCAACCCCGCATCAATCCTCCAAGATTAGATACCAAACGGAGGCAGACATTGTTCAATCTCCTAAATGCTTTAAACGAGCTTAGCCAAGCCGAATCTCTCGACCGAGGTTAGCATTCCGTGCTATGCAATCCTAGGCTGCTCATCGACTCCTCAACTCAGACTTTGATCAGTATCCAAGCTTTGAGGATGACAGTGATGTCCGTGAGTAGGCTCGTCTGCTAGTGATGGCTGCACCTTCGGTTGAACATCGGATTAGCGACTGTTGACGAGCAACTACAGGTTGCCGGAGCAGAGGCATTTAACAGATTTCAGAAGTTCGTTCATCATTAGTCCTGCAATTTTTTCCTTAAATTTTTCTCCAGAAGGATCAATAGTCTCGACAAAGAGGTCACTGCTGTTCAACAACAAGATTTGCGGCTGATTAGGCTGACGTGGTGTTCACACCGACAGCTCAGAAACTTTGGCAATGCCGCACGACAACTTGGTAGTTCCGTCGGAATCCTGTCCTCCGCATTTCGGCTCCGCGAATGTCTTGCACAAATCCTCTTCCTCTTCCGGGACAATGCAGCTGATCTCTTTCCTCGAAAGATCTCTCGTCAGCAACGCGAATTTTTGGTCAATCCCAATCTAATGGACAAAAAGCGCAAGGCTCGGCGGCGAAAAAGCATGCCAGGACGTGTTCCAGCTAATACAGAGGACAGCCTTGATCTTGAGAACCTCCCAGAGCAGTTTGAGAACTTCGCTACTGCTCTCATGACCTTCCTGAAATGCCTGAACGAATTTCCAGAGTTTACCGATGAAGCTGTTAACACTTCAATAAAGTCATTTGAGGGCGATTTGAAGGTATATATTCGCACCTTTTTGCCTGGTGATTGGTTAATTTTCAGCAGTACTGGGCATGCTGTTTACAAGATTACAGAGGTAAGCCTCTCGCAGCCTCGCAGGACTCAATGACTTGTGATTCTAAATATCTTTTATCAGGACAATTCAAATACCCTGCTGTGCAGCGCTATATTCATGACCTTACGGCTGAAATGGGAGAACACATCGACAGCATTACTGGGACACTATCTATGTTCATCGAAGTCGGTGTGTTATCCCGTTGTCTATCCAGGCGACATTGCTCTGATTTAGTCCGAGGTGTCCCAACTATTCGATTTGCACAGAAGCACGGTGCAGCAAATCTGTTAACTCTGTCCACCGTGGCCACCTTCTTCTCCGCCGTCACTGCGACCACGCTACAGTTCTCGTATTCTCAAACCGGAGATATGCTCTCCGACGGAGTTAATGCGTTCTGGTTCTCCTCGCTTGTATTCAGCATCGCTGCTGCTGTTAATAGTTTGCTGGGGCTTTCTTGGAAACAAGCTATGTAGTAAGTGTCTCTCGGACTTAAAGCGGTCTTAGCTGATGTGGGTAGTCGATCACCTGGTGATCGCGTACCGTGGTGGGTACTGATATGGATTAAACGATCACCCTTAGTATTTTTGGTGATGTCTGTGGCTTGCTTCTCGGCCGGGCTTGTACTGTTCACGTATTCTACGAACCAGGTGGGTTCTCTTGACTGTTTTCAAAAAAAATATTACTCATGATATATCACAGGGCAAAGTTACATCTACAATCACAACTGTTTTTACTGCGTTCACCTCGTTTGGCCTAGCAGCAGTTTCAGCCTGGTTCGCTTCTGAGAGATGGACATTTGTGCATCACCGCGGGTCGAAGTGGCTTTCTGACGTTCTGAAAGATGCTCTGCGACGCTTCATGGCCCTGCCTCTGATTTCAATCATCAGCAAAAGCTTGGGTTGGGGCTTGCAATATGTGCAAAAAGGCGTTGAAGTTGCAGGACACAAATTTAGACGGGTGCCATCGATGGGGACAATCACGACAGCCGGGATAGAGCAAGGCGACAACCTGACGAATGGCGAGTATGCCCACGCAATGTCACGCTCTCCTGAACCCATTTCTCTGCTATCACCTATCCGACAATCCACGGACTCCCACTCGCATTTTAGTGCCGACGGTTCTTCACATCCCAACTTGGAGTCACCAACTACTACCACCTTCAGCGGCACGTCAAACTCTCCAATTACACCGCGAGACCGTTTAACAAGTGCCATTCGGTCCGTCATGATGCTCCAGTCTGCAACGTCTTCTCCTAGCAACCCATTTTCTCCTCCTACGCGGAAACGAACAACTTCGTCGGCGTTCACAGATGTATCGAGAGTGATGTCAGAGACAAGTGTCACCACAACATATAGAGGATCCAAAGTCGCTTCCCTCATATCTAAGCTCAAAAGCTTAGAGGCAACGCAAGATTTGGTTGCACATTCAGCACTCGTCAGGCACTTACAGTTCTCACCCAATGGCAAGTTTTTAGCAACTTCAAGGTAGGACCTTCCAGCCTGTGGAATATACTATGTATTGACGTTTTTTTAATAGCTGGGATCGGACGTCTATCATCTTCCGCGTCGGGGTATGTGGTGCTAGTGGTTGATCGAAACGTGGCAATAATAATTCTATAGGATCCTTGTGTGCCCCATCGTGTACTTGCACATGCTTCTGGCTTTGTTGGTCAAGTTGCTTGGTGCGCTATTCTTGCTTCGTGTTCATGGCTTGCTGACATTTTCATAAGGTCCCCAGTTGGGGTGCTTCTCCTTACAAGGCTGAATCGGGCTATCAAAATTTGGACGGAGGTTGGTTAAACGGGAAGACGAGTAACGCGGTGCTGAGTTATGTGTCATTTTTAGGATGGAGTGTGTCGGAAGACCATCGAACGTCATCACCATGTCCAGTCAATTGCGTGGTTGCCTGGAGGGGAAGGTGAGGTCCCAATTGTCACCTGCAGACTATACCAACAAGTGATCTTCTGCAGCATTTCTATCTGTCGAGGGTAGCGAAGTGGTCAAATTGGTGAGTAGCTATCGCGCTCTTATTTATGACGTGCCCACTCATTTCGACAGGATCTTAATGGCAATGTGTGTGCATCAGGGTTACTTTTTTGGAATGCCACTGAAGTCTCTCGTTCTTCAGGTCCTTGACACGTATCACTTCAATCGGGTGTTCATTCATGATGTGGCCATCACTCCCGATCTACAGCGGTTGTTGGGCGTCGGGCCGATCCTATACTCTCCCAAAGGATTGCATCCTAGCAAGTCCCGAGTAGAAAAACAGCTTTTGGGTGAGTTCACTGTCGTCTTTCGTGGGATCTGACGTCTTATATATTGTAGTTTATAATGTCGAGACGAGGGTTATTGAAAAGTGAGACTATCGACATAGTGCTTAAGGCACGTATTGATGACTTGTGCTAGCCAGACGCCAGTGCTCAATGATGTTCGTGATATAACGCTGGCCAAGAACGGACAAGAGGCTTTGGTATCTTATGAAAACAAGGTCTGTCAGTATATCGCAGATTCACTATTTTGCTCAGTTTCTCTCGTGGATATATCTAGGCATTCCCGCAGCTGTGGAAGTTAGAAATGGTCAAGGATCAGGCGCGACTGATTCTGCGTCATACTTATATGCCCAAGGTGCCAGTTGACTTTGCAGGACCGAGCTATTTTGGAGGTAAGGATGATCAGCTTGTGCTTTGTGCTGGCAAGGGTGCGCTATTTCGGGTTCCCCATAGTCCTATAACTGAAGAAGTACTGAGCAGCTGGTGATATACACATCTGGGACCGCGATTCAGCCATGCTTCTTCATCATGTCCGTGCCCAAGCCCTAGGCGGGGACCTGACGTGTATCGCATGGAATCATGCTTCGGACAACCCTTTTATGTTTGCTACGGGAAGCCACGATGGTGCGGTCAGATTGTGGACGACGGCGAATGACTATCGACCATGCGAGTCTAGTCGCCGTTTCTTTGCAGTGAATACACAGCCTACACCACATTCTGTTGCCCCTTGCTCGCCTTCACCTGTTGATGATGGTGCTTGGACAGATAGCGCCGGCAAACAATTTGGGGAATACACCTCAGAGCCATTACCGCTCACGCCCGTGGAAGACAGTAGCCAGCGAGATAGAATTGTTACATTTGCACATACTCGTGGACAGTAAATATACCCATCTACCATACACATTTAGCCTTCCAATAGAAGGAACTTAAGATAGTTATTCACTTTGCGTTTCTGGGTTGGGATGTTGGAAATTTCAAGGCTCAGTGATAGGATCATGCACAGAGGTGGCTGTGCCGCGGCGCCTCACCGTTACACTTACCAGCACCAGCTGCACCACTGACTCTGCTCAGGGCTCAACACTGCAAGTATGGAGGTCGAGTACTCTTTAAATAGCGATGACTCTCAATGCGAAACCTGCTCACATCAAGAGGCCCATATCGGACAAGAGGAGAATGATGTCCCTCCTTCAAGTTCGCTGCCTGCATCTACTCGCTTGATTGGGATATTCGAGCTTCGGTGGAAAATCTTTCAGTTGGTCCATGGCACATTTATGGAGGTCCCAAACAATAAGACACTCCTGGCACTTGCCTTGACGTGCAAGTCATTCACTGATTCTGCACTGGACCTTTTGTGGCAAGACCTACGTGGGCTTGCGCCACTTATCAGATGCCTCCCGCAAAGCCTATGGAAGGCCACAGGAAAACTGGTAAGTCGAAATCTGGCGCGCTCACGAGGGAATACTAGTTCACTCCATTTGCCAGGAATTCCAAAGAACCATGACCTTCGATGACTGGTCCATTTTTTGCAAATACAACTACCGTGTCCGATCACTAAGCCTAATCGCCTATGGGATTGTTCAACCTCAGCTGGATATCGAGATTTGGCGTACTCTTAGCTGCCCTCCTTTCTCCCTTCCCTTGCTCCCAAACTTGATATCTCTTTCCTGGAGAGTGTACAACGAGACATTCCTGTATGTCTACTTGTTTGTGACCCCAAAATTGATGACACTCGATATGTCACGGATGGACCTGGGGATCTCCACCATTGGCCTATCTGAACAGTCCATGTTGTCATGTATCTCAATGCTGTGCCCTTCTGTCTCGCATTTTCGGTCTCTATTTTGCGGAGGAGACACGTCGACCGCATTACAAAGTTGGTCTCATCTAAAATCGGTCAAAACCGAACAAATTTCTGAGGCGGCTATACTACACCTGTCGAATTTGCCTTCACTCCGGGTTCTATATTTCAAACTACCTTCAATCCCTATATCTGCTAATACGCAAAAGCTCCTGCAACGTTCTGTGTTCTGCGCAATAGAAGAACTGGGTGTAGAATGTGAAGAGAGTCTAGCACTTTTAGATGCTTTTTTCGAGAAGCTCTGCGTTGCTCCAAAAGTAATATCCTGTGTTATCCTTGACGGAGTGGGTTCCATACTGGCCCTACCGGCTTTGATTTCCCGTCTATCTAATACTTGTGCGCATAGCTCACTCGAACAGGTGCGGCTCAATATCAGCGAACTAGAGATGGATCCCGATGCTTCAATCGGAGCTGCAGCCTTTCAACCGCTCTTCGCCTTCCGCAATCTTCGCAGGCTCGACGTCGAAACGGATTGTAATGTACGGTTAAATGATGCTGTCCTTTTGCAGATGGCAAAGGCCTGGCCCCTCCTGGAACGGTTAATCTTCCACCCATACTACTGGCATGTGGGTGATGACGTCACCCCACATGCATTCGTCTCCCTGTTGCAACACTGCCCATGTTTAGTCTCGGTTTCTGTTTTCGTAGATTGGTCGACTATAGATAGGCGTGACATATCCCCTGTCATCCCCTACCAAGGATTTGCACACAAGGCACTATCAGAGGCATCCTTTGGTACTCCAAGGATTCGCCATCCAACAAGGATTGCCGCCTTCATCTCAGCCATCGCACCCAACGTGAAATCAATTGCGGCATGGCATTTTGATTTCTACGATGAAGATCCAGACCTCGAAAAGTACTCTGTCAGGTGGAAGCTCGTGGATCATTTGGTCAAGTCTTTCTCTATGGTCCGCGAGCAGGAGAGGAGAACGAAGTTGAATGGAGATGCAGGGGGTGATGAAGAATTTAGAGGTTCATATGACTACTACGGGGTTGTGCAGCCAGCACAGGAGACTGAAAATGGGGAAGCCACTGTTGGCGGGGGTGGAGAGAGTTCCGAGGAAGACAGCGGAAGCGGGGACGAATATGTGCCTTATGAAGAACAAGTCACGGAGGAGGAATGATCTGAATTTGACTTGGGGGCTTTGCGCCTGTTCATTTTTTCTCAACTAGCCTTCGCAAGCGGTACAGTCCATACTAGTTTTTTTTAAATTTCCCCACACTGGTTCCTGGATCGTGCGGCACAGAGGTGGCTGTGCCACGGCGCCCCGGGCACTATGTTATCCTGATTCCTCACTGTCTTTGCTCAGCCTTCAGTACTGCAAGCCTAGTAAGTATGGAGGTCGAGTACTGTGCAGATTGCAATGACTCTCGGGGCCTACTTGAAAAAAAGGATGCGGATGTGTGAGCTGAGAGTAATAGGAAAGCAGAGGATCGGCGCCCCGGCGTGTTCGCTGTGGCAATATTATTATACATCAATTTGTTCCGTACCAATGGCCGATGAGACTCCAGGCTCCATGGAACATATCACTCTTATTTCCTGGACATCATCCACTACATTAATCCGACCCATAGAACATGCTGTCGAAACGGGTTATCGCTGCAGCTCGCAGTCGTGCTTTTCTCCCAAGCAGAAATGTCCAGTACCGTGACACTGCTGTATCATTGTCGAAAGGATGGTGCGCGACGCGTGTTCTCTGCGTGTTTTCTTCTCTGCTGGCAGCATAGCTAACGGACAATCATTTTCTTGTCCGTCTAGGAAAATCGCCGACTCGCAAATGAGACGCGCACAGTTCCATTCATCACATCTCCTCCAAGGTCAGTTCTATGACGTATCTAAACAAAGAAACATGATCATTCAAACTTGCTCTGTTGGTCTTGTTGACCCACAGTTGAGACCGTAAAAGTGCCGCAGATGGCAGAGTCTATCTCCGAAGGTACTCTTCGGTCTTGGTCAAAACAGGTTGGGGATAGCGTCGAGGCTGATGAGGAAGTCGCGACCATTGAGACGGATAAAGTAAGTAACAGCTTATTTGCACCTCTATCGCACGGACAAACACACTAACGACCTCTCCTGCAGATCGATGTTTCTGTGAACGCGCCCAAGTCAGGGAAGATTGTGGAGCTGCTCGCAAAAGAGGATGACACTGTCAACGTCGGCCAAGACCTCTTCAGAATTGAACCAGGTGAAGGTGGTGGTAGGTCCCACGTCTTTGATTTGACACACGATTTCTTCACATGGTTTTAGCCTCTCCCGCCCCTCAAGAACAGAAGAAGGTAGACCCCGAAGAACCTAAGGACCAACAACTGGACAAGACGACCCCGGAGCCTCCCGCACCTTCAGGTGCCGACAAGCAGAGTGGCGGTATCCCTCCTGAGGGACCTAAAGAGTCCAAGAAAGAAGTGAAGCAAGACTCAAAGCCAAAGGAGGTCAAGTCAAAAGCACCTCCCGCCGCGCCAAAGGCACCAGGCAACCGGGGTGAGACCAGGGTAAGCAGAGCATTGCTGCACCTCCTTCAAGGATATTAACGTGCCTCTATCGCTTAGGTCAAGATGAACCGTATGCGCCTGCGCATTGCCGAGCGTCTGAAGGAGTCTCAAAACGCTGCCGCTTCGCTCACGACCTTCAATGAGATCGACATGTCGTCTCTTATGGAGATGCGAAAGAAGTACAAGGATGAAGTGCTCAAGGAACACAATGTCAAGCTGGGTTTCATGAGCGCGTTCGCTCGTGCGTGCGCGCTGGCACTAAAGGAGATTCCTGCCGCAAACGCGTCCATTGAGGGTGACGAGATTGTCTACCATGATTACGTTGATCTCAGTGTTGCTGTCGCGACTCCGAAGGGCTTGGTCACTCCCGTAGTGAGGAATGCTGAGGGTATGGGCTTTGTTGATATCGAGAAGGAGATTGCTGCTCTCGGCACCAAGGCCAGGGACGGTAAGTTGACTCTCGAGGACATGGCAGGAGGCACCTTCACCATGTAAGTTTTTTGATCATCAACCTAAACCCAGGCTAATTTCACACACCCAGTTCTAATGGCGGTGTCTTCGGCTCATTGTACGGAACACCCATTATCAACTTGCCACAGTCCGCTGTGCTAGGCATGCACGCGATCAAGGACAAACCTGTCGTAGTCAACGGCCAGATTGTCATCCGACCCATCATGGTTGTCGCTCTCACCTACGACCACAGACTACTCGATGGTCGGGAGGCAGTTACATTCCTGGGTTCGTACTCTTCCTGTCATTTGGTCTCACCTGACGTGTTGACGGCGTTTGTAGTGAAGGTTCGCGACTATATCGAGGACCCCCGCAAAATGCTTCTTGCATTGAACTGAGCTTGCCTTGGAGAATTTTGTTCACGAAAGATCTACGGCCAAGGGCACTTGTTCTTATAAGTTACAGTAATTTCGCAGTCAGTATTTTCAATGCCAAATTCCTTGGTCTATCCCAAGTTGTCATTGTCGCTCTAAGGTTACCCATAGCTCTCACTCATCATCTTGCGCGACAATGAACGGCATATTTGAACACTTCATGCTTTTCCAAACCATGTAATCCACCTTCGTAGCAATCTCCTTTGCTGTGTCAATCTTCAGGTTGAGTTGGAGCTATTAATATTGCTGTACCAGAGGTAGCCATAATCTCCCACAAGGCAGTCGGCGTGCCTGAATAACATGGAATACAAAAAAAGACACTGCGTGTCCGTGTGCAAAAACAAAATAACGACGACCATCGCATCGGCATGTCCGACCGGCAGACATCACGGTATGACCTCCTTTTCCTTACCCTTCCGGGACGGCGGCAGCGCCAAGCTTGGTAAGCTTGCCATGCCTGCAACACTAGTGAACGATGCAAGGCGTCGTGTTCCCTTTAGCCCCGTTGGTGAGGAGAGAGTATTAGATGAGTACAAAGGACTGCTTGGGACCGAGACGTTCGAGCGTGTCGGTCTTGTGGGCGTTTCGCCCTGATTTGCTTCGGTGAGCAAATATTCTACCCAGAGCCGGGAAAAAGACTAGAGCAGAAAAGCGGTGAGCTTGTGGTTGCAGCAATAAAATTCGTGGTATTACCTCAGTCTCATCTGTCTTTTCCAAATCGACCGCCTTTTGGCTTGGTGAACCGATATTTGACGGACGTCCCCAGAATGAGTTGCCAGATGAAGTTGTTATCGAGGAACGCTGGAGGCCTGCCTTCTCACGTTCTGCGTCCGTCCATGATAGAACAGATGCAAGAAGCGTGAGCATTTCAAAGCGCTTTGCATCGGCACGTGGAGTGGAAAGGAACGATAGAAGAACATTGTTCACTAGTCGCCGATCTACATTCGTTTCGGATGAGTTGCGCCGAAGTCTACGGAGGGCTTCCATCAAATGTTCGTTAATGATTACGGCTGAAAAGAAGATTGATATTAGGCAACATGTGTGATGGTGGAAATAAACCTTCGTGTCGTAGCTTGCCGATTAATAGATTCTTTTCCTTGACGTCCTGTTCTAGCTCTTGTGTCCGCGAGGCATTGATTTTTAGTTCGTCAAGTTGTGCCTGTCGGATATTTGAGCTTGGTTAGATAGCGACTAGAACACAAGGCAGACCTCTGCGTCTAGAGCTCGTCGCTTGAATTCGGCTAATGACATGGTGACATCATCGAGCTGAGATCTGTAGTCCTTCACAGCTTGTGAAAGTTCGTGTTCCTTGGCTGCCAATGTTTCAGCATGGAGAACTTGAACATAAAAGACGCATGACATTGCTTACATGCTGAGAAATCCTCTAGCACTGACTGTAAGTTAGTCGCAGTCTCCCGTGCTGCGACCAACTCAACTGACTCTCGAACTCGAATTTCGCGTTCCATCTCTAGATCACGTCTCAATGTCTCCAGGTTCAATCTTGCTTCATCACCCAACATCTTCTCCTGCATTGAGGCGCGCTCCCATTCGCCGCGCTCAAGGCGGCACCGCTCAAGCTCACTCAAAGTCTCCCGAAGCTCACGTTCGCGTAGAAGACTTTCTTGCGCATTCTCGTTCAGAACCTGACTTCGAATTGTATCTAGCTCCTTTGAGTTGCGTTCTGCTTCTTCATGAGATGCGATGAGCTCGGCTTTCAAAGTCTCGACTGTGGAAACCAGATCCTCATTCTGAGCTGTAAGATGCTGAACAAGTTGTTCCCTCCTATCGAGTTCTTCCTATGCATAGTTCGTTAGGGAGCCAAAAATAATACATAGATACTCCAATAGAAACGTACAGCATCGTGTTGAAGCTTATTGCCTAGGCTTGTACGCATCGTCGTGAGTTTGGCTAGGAGATTACGATACTGTGCAGCAAGGTTCTCTTTCTCCTCTCTCTCGCGTTCGAGTTCTCTCTTCAGCTTCTCGATGGGATCCAAGCCCTCCTCGTCCACGAGGGCACGGGAATGTCCATTGATCCCAGCTACGGGAGAAGACGTGGAGCTACGTTCACTGTCTAGAGATGAGCGACCATCCACGTTTGCGACGTGATTAATAGGAGAAAAGGGTCTGGCATGAACTGGGGACTTCGAGTCATTCCGGGTGATGGCTGCGCCGTTGGAAGACATCGATCTTGTTCTTGTCATTCAGTCCTCTGCTCCAGAGCATAAGGCTACTTCACACACTGACAAAAAAGGAATCCCACGTGCGCTTTCGTTGTACAGATCGGTGTCTTTTGTTGGTCTCATCGTGACCTTTGTCGTGGAAGAACTTCAATTCTCGAAAGATTCGTACTTCTGGTAAGAAAGGGCCTTTGTAGCACTTGCCCTTTGTTTCCAGTGCTTAAAAGCCCTGATCGCAATATGGATTTCGTATCAGTACTAGATCATGACGGCCAAAACACTCGTGGAACTCCCATCAGAGCTTTTGCATCATACACTGTCATTTCTCGACTCGCACGACCTCGTGCGGGTACGAAAGGTGAGTGAACACGTGTATTCATCTCACTGTGCTCACTGCTCATCCGTCATAGACTTGCAAAACGTTGAAAGAAATTGTAGATGACTCGGAGATGTTGCAATACACCATCGACCTCGGTTACTTCCAAATGAACCCAGGGGGATCCTCGGAGGAGGACGTACCACCAGCTATGCGTCGCGAACGACTTAGATTGCATGACGCTGCACGGCAACACGTTGAATTTAAATTGAAGCGCACGCTACCCTTACCAATGTCAGGACTTGCACGTGTAGATGCGTTTGGGGGCGGTATATACGGTTCAGCTGGG